ACTGCATGACCTCACTTATAAGATATAAGCAAAAACACGGAAACAAAGATTTTAAATGATTACTAGGGGTTGGAGGGGAGAAAGGGAAAGTTTTGGATAGAGGGCAATGAATTTATGTTAATGGTTGTGGAATGTTTTGGAAAAATATAGCAATAATCATGGTACAACCTATAAAAAAGTAAACTTACCAAATTGCAACATGTCCAAAGTATGTCAGATGAAGCTTCAGTATCCTTGCCTCCAAAGAACAGCCCCGTTTTACCCTCTCCAGGACAAATCTGTTTGTTCTCCTAACAGTCCATGGTATATTCAACAATCTTCTCCAGCACCACAGCTGAAAAGCATCAATTCTATTTCTATCATCTTGAGTCATTGTCTAGGTCTCTGATGCACAGCACGCAATTGCGAAGACTATGGCCTGGACTAGGTGCACCTTAGTCGCCTGCCTGATTTCGTTGCTCTTCAGTACTCTGGAGATGTCCCTGACAGCTGACTTTCCCAATACAATTCATCTCTTGATTTCCTGGCTGCTGGTGCCAAGAGTGTTGATTGTGGAACCAAGCAAACTAAAACTGTTAATTATCTCAATCTCTTCACCATCTACAATGATGCTGCCAATTGGCCCAGTGGTGAGAATCGTTGTTTTCTTGATGGTAACCTTCCACCACAGCAGGTCTAAATACCTGAGCAGTGGTTTCTCTCTTACCTTCTTGAATCTGAAGCCTCCTCGTAGTTACATCTTCTTCATTTAATTTCTCTTTCCTTCTTTCCCTTGATCCTTACCAGACACACATGCACATAAAGACACAGGTAAAATTTCACATATATTAATTAGAAAGTAGCCTATCAAAAAGGCAGGAACAAAATTGCTTAGAACAACTATTCTGGATTCGGATTCCTGGTTTCAAATCTCAGCTGTGATATATATTAAGCATGTAATCTCAGAGAACATGCTTAACCTTACTTAGCCAGATTAAAAAGAGGATAACAATTGTGCCTGCCTCTTAGGCTGGGATATTCAAATGCTTAGCAAAGTAGCTCAATAAGCTTTTAAACAGTATTATTAAGAAAATGTATGATATAGTATGGATATTCTAATTCTTTGCATTAACTTCACAGTCTTCCCTGTTTGGAAGCAGCTCACTAGAAGATAAATCAAACACACAGAAGGCCAATAAATCCATCAGCAAGAGTTTATAGGGCAACTCCACAATGCAGTACTGTGCCAGGGGCCACAGAAGCCAACACAGAAGGTGGATGTTAGCATAAAGCTGAGGTTGAAAGAGAGGAATGCCAAGAGTACATTTACATATTGTTAGGATATGAGTTGTATCCCCCAAAACCTATACTGAAGTTGTAATCCCTGGTACCTGTATATTCGACCTTAGTGAGAAACGGATCTTTAACAATATTATCATTTAAATTAGTCTGGCTCCCTAGGTGGTACAATATTTAAATGCTTAAATATTTAAATTAAACCACAAAAGTTATTGCTTAGAATTCACTGAGAGGAATAAAGGTCTGGTAATCTGCCTCTAGAAGTTCAGAATCATGAAAACCTTCACCACGTGGGGCAGCTACTCATGAAATATGTGGGATGGCCAGGATTCAGAATGGACCTGAAGAGAATTGCCTAGAACTAGTTGTTCATGCAAAGGTAGGATGAGTCTAGTGATGTGATAATTGTTAGGCCACACCTGCTAAGGAATACTTGGAGCTATCACAAGTTTGGCAAGATAAGATGGGATCGTTCTCAAGAGAACAGGGAAAGAACATGGTCTTATCACCATCCTAAACTGGCATCCTGCATTTGGACTCCTAGCCTCCAGAAGCTGTGACACCCAGTTGTAGAACTCTCTTACAACAATCCTAGGACATTAGCATAGTCAATTCTGGTTAGGGTGCTACAAAGTAACCATAAAGCTTTTGGGAGACTCCCCTGGTGGTTAACAAGACAAAAAGGAGTGAGAAGGCTACCTCCTCACATTTCTTACTGTACTCACTTCCAGACAAAGGATCACTCTCAAAGCAAAGCTCTAAACTGCATTAAGTCATATCCCTGTTCATTTAATTTGATACATTTCAACAACTCAAATCAAATAAAAACCTCAACACTGACCCTCCAGTGGGTTTTCAAGGCTGTATGTAGATCACACAGAAAAAGATGGTTCATCTTTCTTTCTCGTGTGGTTTTTGGATTAGCAGTGCAACTCTAAAGGCTATGTAGTCACCACAGCTTCCTAAATATGGTGGCATAGTCCATTAGAGAATTGGGCTGCAAATACAAAGGTGGTCCTTCTCTGGTGGTTTGAATCCACAAGCCACTCCTTGGGAGAAAAATGGGCAATCTTCTCCAGTGCGATTTATATTTACAGGTTCCAGGAATTTTCTGAAACATCAGCTATAAGTTGGTTCCAACTAAACAGCAATTAAGTTTGGAGGGATTTTGATTTCTTGTTAGAACTGAAAATAAAAAATCTCTCTACCTTCAAAAAATCATGTAAGGCTAATAAATCTGAACTTCAAATCCAGCCTAAAATTAAGAAAAGGGTAATCATCTACAGATGGGCACTAATATTAGAAAAAGAGAGACAGCAGTACATAGTCCCCGAATTGTCACTGTTGTGTCACTATAGTGCCTGAATTTAACAGTTTTCTTCTTCTAACCCTCTCCACCCTTTTTTGCAGTTTTCAAACACCTATTTATAACAATTATCTATATAAAGTAAGTTTGTCCTAGAGGGGGTAAAAGCAAGTTTCTTATTGGAGGCAAGGATTTTGAAGCTCTGTGTGACATAGTTATGCATGGTTGCCAAGAGCGACCAGTCCTTGGAGAAGGATATCACGCTTGGAAGGATGAAGGGTGTGCCCAGGAGAGGAAGACCCTGAAGGAGATGGATGGATACAGCAACTGGAGTAATGGGGGTAGGTGTGTCAGATATAGAAAGATTGGCTCAGGATAGGGCAGGCTTCAGAGCAACTATGCATAAGGTCACTGTGAGTCAGTCGCAAGTGACTCAGGACACTACAACATATAGAGCAAGCTGAGTGAAAACCCATAAATAAAATTGAGAGTCAAAGGCTATCAGAGTATAAATTCTTCTGATTACATGGTAAGACAAATATGTGCACAAGCTCAATGACTGGCCTAAAATAACAAACATGGTGGGAGAACAAACGTTAAATTCAAATTTCCTTATTCCAATCCAATACATTTTCGGCCATATTTAGTATTCATGGTCCAAATTTAGTATTTATAGGTCTACAATTCTCAAGACAGTCCTTCTCAGGTAGTTTGTCCCATCACCCCCTAAAGAACCTGTACTTGTAAATCATAACAGGTCATTTCTGGTTAAGTGAAAATAGCTGCTATAACTTCTCAACAGTAATTTTCATCTGTTCATTTAAAACTACATTTAAGATTAATTTTTCTTAAAAAAACATCAATTGATCTGGTATCTTTATAATCACAATAAATTTGTCCCCTTTTAGGAGGCAGCATAGCATGATGATGATAACACTAGAGCTAGTAGGGTCTGAACTCCAACTAGCCCCTTTCACCTTAACGCTTCCATTTCCACATCTGTAAAGCGGGAATAATAAAAATGCTCCCTAAGAAGAATGGTGAAAACTAATTGGGTTAGTAATATTACCAAAGTGACTAGAAGATAACAGGTGCCTGTCTCTAGAAAAAGACATCATGCTTAGTAAAAGGTCAACAACAGCAACAAGAAAGGAAGATCTCTTTAAAAAAAAAAAAAGATCTTCAATAAGATAAATTGTCATGGCAGTTCAACAATGGACATTAAAAAAAAAACACAAAAAACAACCCCACAGTGAGGATGGCTCAGGATCTGACAGGTGTTTCATTCTGTCCTGTACAAGTTCTGTCTCTAGGAGTCAGAACTGACTCAATGGCACCTAACAACAAAAACATATTACAAGCCATCAGTATTACCTTTATTTGGAGTTTGGAGACTTTATATTGGCTAATGAGTAAGGAGTTGCACTGCAAACACAATGGAGGATGGTTGGTATTCACCAGCTTGCTCCAAGAGAGCAATCTCTCCTACCATGTGATTGACAGCCTCTGAAAACTTGCTAGAGGGTCTGCTATGAGTAGGTTTCCACTTCTTGACAATGAGTGAGATAGGTTGTATACTCATCACATGTCTACAAAAACACATGAACAAAATTATTTCAAAGTCATTGATAAAGAGGCACAGTGGTCTGGCCCTCCCTGTTGCACACCTCTAAAAGACACCGTCACAGTTTAGCCAAGATCTGTCTGTGCCAGAGACCTCCAGTATTCTCAATAACTCCTCTGGGGTTATCTCATTAAAGTATCTCGTTTCTTTGGAAGTGGAATTCCAGCCTCGTGTTTGGACCAATCTAGGATATAGACTTCATTTCAAATGTACGGATGTGAATTTCAGAACCGCACGTGATTTAAAAAAAAAAAAAAGAGTAGGACGTTTTGGTTTTAATACTTCTTACTCTGCGACTCCACAATGCTACTTTTTTTTTTTTTTACTCTACAATGCTACTTTCTTTTATCGCGGCCTTTCCATCTGGAAAACTGGTGAGGGGAAGAACCAAGCCAAAGCATCCCCTTCTTACCCCTCAACAAGAACACCTCCTGTGTTTGTACATATATTCACAGAAAGCCGAACCTCTCTCCAGGAACTCAGATCTGCAAGACACTAAGCCCCATGTGCAGCCCGTGGCTGGGAGGTACAGCACCCTGACAGCAGGTGAAAGAGGGCAGGCATGAGGACCTTACCTCGTGCAGAAAGCACCCAAAAGAGACATCAGAAGTACTCTATGCCAGTGGAACACCTCGATGCAACACGCCCCCCACAAACCACCACTTAGCACCCTCCTGTCAGGACCAGAGCCCTTCCGGACGCGGAGAGGCTGTCTCTGCAGGCGGGCGGCCGGCACAGGAGGAGCTCACGCCCCGCGGACCGGCCGATCCCCGCGGGTCTGCACTCACTCACCTGGCCCGTGATGCCGGTGATGAGCGCCACCTTCCTGGACCTGACCACCTCGCCGTCCCCGGAGCCCCGGGCGCTGGGGCAGGCTTCACGTGCGTGTGCCATGTCCTCACAAAGCGTGTTGCAGAAGAGGTGACAGCCAAGCGGAGCAAGGGGCGCAGGAGGCTAGGGGACAGGGACCCAAAGGAGGGAGTGTCGCTCGAGCTGCCACGGCCTGGAGAGGGAGGAAGAGGAGGAGGAACTGGAGCTTCAGGCGGAGGGGGCGGGCGCCGAGCCCAGCGCCGCCGGCCGCCAGAAAGTGACAGGCAGGCGGCGGGTGGAGCCGAGGCAGTGGGCAGGGCCGAGGCTGAGGGCGGGGTCAAGGAGGCTGGTGGAGCCAAGGCGCCGGGCGGACCTGACCGGCCCGGGCGGCGGAGCTTCGGCTGGGCGGAGCCCAAGTGGCTGCCGGGCCTGTCAGGCCCCTGGCGGCGGGGCTGCGGTGGGCGCGCACGTCTTGCGTCATCGCGCGACGCTCCTCCTGCACCGGCAGCAGGCCCTGCCCACGGCGATAGCCGGGAGCGGAGGAAGAGAGAGTTCAATGCGAAAGGGGCGGAGCCTAGCCTAAAGGGGTGGGCCCTGCTCTTAGGGGCTTAGGGCGTCACCATCCCTGTTCCACTGCGAGGGAAAGGATCCCAGGACTTAGAAAGTTATGTCAGTGCCTCCGTAGAAAGTTGATATTTTATGTCTTGACAGGGCCTCAATTCACAAGACCTCAAATAGACTCAGAAATGTGGAAGAATGGTGGAGGGGTAGTGAAAAGAAGACCCTCAACAAAATGATTGGCACAGTGACTGTAACAATGGGCTCCAGAAAGGTAGAGATCATGATAGCAGCATAAGGCAAATTTCAGATATGTTTTTTCTTGAGCAGTGGTGTCTCTCTGGAGACTAAGGTGTGTCTGATACAGGTCATGGTCTTTGCAATCACTTGTTATGCATCAGAGAGTTGGACAATGGCTAGGGAGGATAGAAGGAGAATTGATGCCCTTTGAGCTGCGATGCTGGAGAACAGTATTGAGAGTACTATGGACTGCTAGGAAAACAGATTCAACCTGGAGAAGGTTAAACCGGGCGGCTACTTGGAGGCAAGGATTCTGAGGCCCCATCTAACATATTTTGGACATGTTGTAAGGAGGGATCGGTCCTTGGAGAGGGAAATCATGCTCGGGAGGGTGAAGGGACAGCGCAGGAGGGGAAGGCCCCCTATGAGGTGGATTGGTTCAGTGACTGGGGTAATCAGAATGGGTGTAGCAGAGACAGTGTAATTGGCACAGGACAGAGCATAGTTTAGGGCTGTTGTATATAGGGGTCGCTGTGAGTCGCAAGCAACTCGACGGCACATAACAACAAACAGTTTATGTATAGAATTCTAATACAAATTTGAACAAATTCTTTCAATTTTCCTCACCCCCTACCCATCAAATTCTACAACCCAGTAATTAATCTCCCCTTCTCCCTGTACATCCACAACACTGTGCTTCCAGCCTCTCCCACCGCTCCTGGATCCTTATACTCATTCTACAATAACGGTCTTATATTTATCCTTGTGGGACTGAGTTAGTTCATTCAGCATAATGCTCTCCAGTCCCTCCCAAATTAGGTAATAATTTACAAAGTTATTGCTCCTGCGTGCTGCATAGTATTCCACTGTGTGAATGTACCATAATTTCTCAATCCATTCGTTTGTGGTTGGACATTTGGGCTGTTTCCATGTTCTTGCAATGGTGAATAATGCTGCTATGAACATTGGTTTACAAATCTCAGTTTGTGCCTCATGAGTTCACTCTTCTTATCCAACTGGATGGCACCTATAATAGCTGGGAATTCTGGCTTTTCTTGCAAGTCCATGGGGATTTAATATGAGTGCTAGCCAGCATATTCAGAGGACTGGCAACACACCTAAAGGAAGTCTCTGACCCTACTGTGTGCAAGAGAAAATAAAAACACTGCACCGGTCAATCAACCTAACCACGGCAAATGTCAGTGAAAATAATGCAAATACAAGATGGTGAACCAGCTGTTGTCTATAGTGTTTGGTTTCCATTTGGCAGGTGCTGACTGGCCAAACAGAAAAGGTAAGCCAGGACTGAGAAACTCAGTGGAGAATCAGTTTTAAGTCATTTCTCACTGGACCACAATGAATTAAATTAACAGGAGCATGATATTGTTAGGTGCCATTGAGTTGCATAGGCCTTATAGCAATTCTATGAACAACAGATCTGAACCCTGTTCTATCGTGTGCCATCGTAATTACCCTTTAGACACTTGAGTCCAATTAGTATAGTCACTGGATCAGTCTTGCTTAAAGAGGGTCTTCCACTCCTCTACTGACCCTCTCCCTTTCCAAGCATGATGTCCCTCTCCAAGGAATAATCTCTCCTTAAAAACATGCATGTGGGCCTAGTGGCAAGGAGCTGCAGCTACAATCCCAGAGGCGCACGGTTCAAAATCCACCAGATGCTCTGCCAGGGAAGGAGGGACAATCTCCTCCTGTACCAGTCATATCTGATTTGACGGTACACGCACACAAAAATAATAAAAATTAAAAAATAAAATAAAATAAAATAAAATAAAAACATGCATGTGAGACGAAGCTTCACCATCCTTGCCTCCAAGGAGCACTGTGGTTGTTATCTCTCTAAGACATATCTGTTATTTTGGCAGTCTATAGACTATACAAAGCTCTTCTCCAGCATTGTAACTCAAAGATGTCAATTCTTCTACTGTCATCTTTATTCACTTTCCAGCTCTCAGATGCATAACAAATGATTGGAAAAACTGTGGCTTGAATCAGACCCATTTTAGTCTTTAACCTGACATCATTGCTCTTCAGAACTTGGAAGAGATCTCTGAAAGCAGTCTTTCCAAATGCTCGAAGTTTCCTAATCTCTTGACTGTTGATATCAAGGGTATCTTATTGTGGATCCAAATAATATTAAATCATTGTCAGTTTCAGTCTTTTCCCCATCTACATTATTAACAATTTTATCTTACTTGGATTCATAATCAACATCCTTGATACCAACAGTGAGGTGATCAGGAGACATATTGCTTTGGGAAAATCTGCTGTCAGGGACCTCCCAAAAGTACTGAGGAGCAATGATGTTAGTATAAAGTCTAAGTTGCACCTGATTTAGGCAATAGTCTTTCCAATCACCTGCTCTGCATGTGAGAACTGAGCAATGAATAAGGATGACAGAAGAATCAATGCCTTTAAGTTGTGGTGTTGGAGAAGAGTACTAAATATTCCATGGACTACCAAAATATCAAATAGACATGTCTCAGAGAAGGTGCAACCTAATTGCTCTTTAAAGGCAAGAGTGGTGAAGCTTCATTTCTTACTCATGTTGTTAGAAGAGACCATCATGCTTGGAAAGGCAGAAGATCAGTGAAAGAAAGAAAGGAAGAGCCTCAGTAAAGAGTATTGACACAATGACTGCCGCAATGGGCTCAAGGATAGAAGAGACAATGAGGATGAAGTAAGTAGGACAGGTTTCAGATATGTTGTTCACAAGGTCACTGTTAGCCATGCTCAACTTGCCTGTACCTAACAACAACATTTATTACAGCAGTCCGAACCATAGATGTTCACCTGGCTCAGTTTGAAGTGCAATAATAGAAGAAACCATAGAATTAAAGCCAATACTATTGTTAGAGCCTTTAAACAAATACAAATATTAAACAAGAGACCTTATTTCACTACATTCAGGAGCAGTCTTACTGAGACTTGAGCCTTTTAGCACAATCACCTGATGCATTGACTGTATGTCTCTGGTTCCACTGGCACTGGCTGTACCACATAGAGGCTTGGCAACTCTTTACAAAACAGACAGTTCCTGCTAACTAGCTTTCAGTATCAACTAATTCCATCCAATCCCCCTTTGATATAAGACTCTCCCCTGGCTTTGCCCCATTTCAGCAGGAAGTAGCTTTTTAGATCTTTGCCCCTTTCCCCCTTTACTTTTAGTAGGGAATATAAGATTGAAACCAAAGGTATTCCATTTCTCTGACACTACCCTAATCCATCCCTATATTCTAGGAAATAGTAAATAATCTGATTAATGTTTACCCCTAATAATGGTTTTATGACCCACCCTAGGAGATAAAACCGTTGAGCCTTTGCCAGCTTTCACTAAAGTGTGCATTTTAAATAAAGCATATTTGCTATTAAAAAAAAAACAACCCCTAAATATTGAAGGAAATTATAAGATGCAGTAGGAGGTTGGAAAACAATGAAGGATAGTTCTCTAAGAAACATCATTGAAGAAGACAGTAAAGTAACTGGGGGAGGGGTGGGAGGTGTTTTGTTGGTTTACTCTTTTTTTAAAATGGTGGGGGTGGTAATTTCCCAATGACATTATAGAAGCTTGAGCCAAGTTAGCACCAAGTATGGAACAATAAAAAACATATTTTGTTAACAACAAGGGAAACTCCAAAATACAGGATGCTGAGCAGTTCTTAGGACAGTAGGGCTGGTTGAGTGTGACTTTCAACCATGGGTGACTTTGTCTCACACAAGTGTAACTAGAGTGTCACATACTTGGATATTGTTCTTTGAAAGGCAGAGGGTCAGTGAAAGAGAAGAAGACCCTCAACATGATAGGCTGGCACAGTGGCTCTAACAATAAGCTCAAGTATATCAGAAATTGTGGGGATGGCAAAGTCCATATCTGTTGTTCATTAGGTCACTATGAAGCTGTAGGGCAACCTAATGACACTTAACAACAACTGGGCACATTACTTGAATCCACAATCAATATCCATAGTATGAGCAGTCAAGAAATTCAAAGATGTGTTGCATTTTGAAAATTTGCTGTCAAAGACCTCTTCAAAGTGCCATTGTTGTTGTTGTGTATCATTGAGTTGGAACCCACTCATAGCTGACCCAGTTAATAGCACAGGAGGAGATTGCCTATCCTTCAAAGTGCTAGAGAGCAACAAATGTCAGTTTAGGGAATAAAGTTCATTTGATCTAAGCCACAGCATTTTCAGTTGTTTCCTATGCATCTGAAAGTTGGACAATGAATAAAGGCAATCAAAGAGGAATTAATGGCTTTGAATTATGGC